CGCCCGGCTATTTTTTGGTTGCAGCCGTCATTGTTGTTTGGCGGTCTGGGCTGGGGATTCGAACCCGCCACCTTAGGTGTATGTGGGTGGCGCCTTAGCTGTTTGAGCTATAGGCGCTGAGCCGGTCTGAAAATTTTAGATAGTAATTTTGTTTTGATAGTAATTTTGTATACGAGGCTAACAGAATAAGTGATAAATCACTCAGATCCCATACTGTGTAGTTGTTCAAATTATGTGACAAAATGAGTGCTCCCAGTCACTTCAAATTAAAAATAATTTTGGATAGGGTCCAACACTGGCTCCTTTAATATTGAATTCTGCATTATTATAAACATACATTTACTTTTGGTACAGAGTTTTATTAATACCCACTGGCTTTGTGGGTTTTTTGGTCATTTTCTAAAATCAAGGTAATCTTTTGAGGCTCATTGCTAAAAGCTTTTGTATTTATTAAATTTCCAATGAAATGAATGGGAAATACAGTTTGCCCTCCATATCTGCAGGTTCCACATCCAGAGTCAACAAAGTGTGGCTAGAAGATACTTTAAAAAACAATACAGTAAGGGCGGTACCTGTGGCTCAGTGAGTAGGGCGCTGGCCCCATATACCGGGGGGCGACGGGTTCAAACCTGGCCCCAGCCAAACTGCAACAAAAAATAGCTGGGCGTTGTGGTGGATGCCTGCAGTCCCAGCTACTTGGGAGGCTCAGGCAAGAGAATAGCCTAGGCCCAGTAGTTGGAGGTTGCTGTGAGCTGTGATGCCACAGCACTCTACCAAGGGCAATAAAATGAGACTCTGTCTCTTAAAATTAAAAAAAAAAAAGAACAGTAAAAGAATACAAATACAAAATACAGTATAACAGCTACTTACATAGCATTTACATTGTTAGAGGTATAAGTAATTTAGAGATGATTTAAAGCATATGAAAGGATGTGTGCAGGTTATATGCAAATACTGTTCCAAATAAGAGACTTTGAGCATCTGAGGATTCTGTTATCAATGGGCATTCTGGAACTAATCCGCCTTGGTTACCAAGGGAAGACTGTAAGTTTGAGTGAAAGTATTTCGTGTAGTACATTTTAAATAGTTTGTAAGACATACAACATTAAAACCAGTATATAATGTATTCTAATCTAGTTTCACTATTGGTTTAATTGTTCTTTGACCTGGAATATGTAGTGACTATTAGAGTCTGTCTTCACAAAACAAGACAAAAGTAGCTATAGAAGGACTTAAATTACTATCTTGGGAAAAAGAATTTTGATTTTATTTTATACACAAATAAATTCTAGATGGATTATAGACCTTAAACATATATGCTTAAAGCTATAAAACTGCTAGGAGAATGCGCACAATATTTTAACAAATGCAAGGTAGGCAAAAAGCAGAGAACAAAAAGCATTAACTAATAAAGGAAGAAAATGTGTCAGTTAAACATTAAACTATGGCTCTATGCCCATGGCTCAGTGGTCAGAGCATCAGCCACTTACACTGAGGTAGGCTGGTTTGAACCCAGCCTGGGCCTGTTAAAAAACAGTGACAGCTGCAACAACACAAACAATAGCCAGGCGTTGTAACACGTGCCTGTAGTCCCAGCTGCTCGGGAGGCTGAGGCAAGAGAATTGCATAAGCCCAAGAGTTTGAGGTTGCTGTGAGCTGTGATGTCACAATACTCTACTGAGGGTGACATGAGACTCTGTCTCAAAAAAACCAAAAATCCTTTCCACTATCTTGGAACATCTGGCTTCAGTCATTGTATATTGCTCTTTTATCTTCTGGTTTGTTCATATCTAGTAATTTTGGAGTGTGTCTTTGAAGTGTTTTGCATTATATTTTGTAGGTACTCTGGAGTCTGTTACATTCCTCTGAACAGACTTTTTTTTTTTTTTTAAATTAAACATTCAAACTTGACTCATCTCAGACTCCAAATGTGTTTCTGTGGTGGTGAGCAGCTGGATTTTCTGTTAAATTCTTCTTAGTTTAACTGGGCTGCTCAGAAGACTTTATTACGTACTCCATACATGTGTTGTTCCGGGTTAGCCAAAACATTTGGAGATAGTTAATAAGTAGGTCCTCTCTGACTCTCTGTGATTTTCCGGTACACTTTCCAGATGTAGTGTTCCCTCCAAACACTTCCTCTGGTTCTTCAAACCAGGAAAACTGTAGCTTTTTTAGCATTTTTGTTACCTTTTATGGCAACAGCTAGGGCCTGTCCTAAGGCTAAAACCTATTTAAAAAAACAAAACAAAACTATGAAGTCAGGTAGTGCTTTTTTCCTTCTTCCAAGTGTAGGACACTCCTCTACCGTATTTTTGCCTGCTTTTTGTCTGTCTGCACTGCCTTCAGGTACCTGGGTTTTGTTTGTTTTATCTTATTTTTATCCAGAGTTTATAGTTGTTTGTGGAAGAGTTTGGTTGATAGGAACTGCTTGATCATTACTAGATTTCCTTAGAAGGAAAATCTAAGCTTTAAATTTAAGCTTAAGATACCTTGTTCCAATATTTTACCTTCTTTTTACTTTAGGTACCCTCTTAGTGGCATGATTTTACCTACTTTTAGAGAGTGGATCCAAAATACCCTTGGTGTAAATGTGGAGCATAAAACTACCTCTAAAGTAAGTGAATAAGAATGATTACTAATGTGCTTAAATGTGATTTTCATATTGGTCCTGTTAAGTGGTTGGGGCAGTTTTGTTGTGTCACAAATCTAGTTTCTAATCTCAGAATTTATCTGGCAAATTTTTCATCCTCTCTGAATTGTTTATTTTAACTTAAGAAATGGGAGTGATAACTGTTTTACCTCTCACAGGATAGTGAAGTGCAAATTATTTACTTTCCTGAGAGTACTTTGTTACAAAAATAAAAGTTGTTGGTATTTCTAAATTATTTAACAGATTGACACTAATCTAGGATTAATATAGAATAATTTTTATATTCAATATTCGAACATTTGGAATATTTGACAAATTACAAATGAAAATTGAATTATGATGAGTGACAGAGAATATTACTTTTAGTTCATATAGTTTCTGTTAAATTCACTTTTAGTTCATATAGTTTCTGTTAAATTCTTCTGTGAAATAGAAAACCTTAAACTGTGTACATGTGAAAATAATGAAGTTTTTATAGCACTTCTCTATTATTATTTTATTATTATTATTTTTCTATAGCATAGTGTTCTGGATGTCTGTCTTACTGGATATAAGTTCCATAAGTACAGGGGCTGTATCTTCAAGTAAATCCTCCTTTTATCCAACATGTTATTAAAAAGTGTTAGGTAGGCAGTGATTGCGATTTATTTATAAATCCATAGATATGTTATGCTATTAAATTAGACTGAACTAAATCCTCTTTCTTTCAAACCAAACTTCTTTAACTTTTCTTAACTGTCTCTTTTCAACTCTTAAATATCTCTCCCCCTCTCTCCCTTTGTAATTATATACTTGGTCTTGACATTGATATAATCTACATACCATATATGGAAATTTTATCAGGTTTACATGTACTCTTTTTTTTCTTAAGCTCTTGAGACCTTTTTAATTTTTAATGACTTAAACTATTAATCAGTATATTTTGTTGAGGTTCTTTGATTACTTTCTTTACCACACATAGGTTGAACTTCATAAAGGTCAAGATTTTTGGGGGGCTGGGTGCCTACTTGCCCATTAACTATCTGTATAAAAGTATCTTGCTCTTATTCTGTAAACCTACCTTTTTTTCCTTAATAAATTTTGTTGCATGCTTGCCTTAAAAAAATTCCCCCTGTTTAACTCACACTCACACATGTATTCCCAGGGCCTAGAATGGTGCTTAGATTATATCAGGCACTCAGTAAATATTTGGTGAATGAATACGGTATCTTAATAAGAGACTGAGAGAATATAGACGTATCATATTTTTTTTTATATATAGTCTCATACTTTCTTTTTTCCAAATACTACATTATACCTTTCTTTAAAATAGATTTGATTTGGTGAGCCATTTATAGACCTCTTCCTATATTCTAGGCATGCTATTAGATGCTTTCACAAAAATTATCACATTTAACAGATGAAGAAGCTAAGGCTCACAGAACTTAGGTAACATGCCCAGTGTCACATAGTTTTAACTTTAAAGTTGAGGATTAGATTTCAAGTTATCTATTATTTGAAATTGAGTATCAAGTTTATAATTATAATTATTAATATATTATATAATTATAATTATGCTGTGAGCTTTAAAGCAGCTCATAAAAGTGGGTTTATTATTTATTGTAAGGCTTTTTCTGTTGATCATTTTAAAATGGTAATTAAAGAATAAGAAATGCTCAATTTTATCTACAGGTAAAAATGTAGATAATGCAAGTCAAGTAGTTTTCTCCTGTCTCCTTAATCTAAAACTGTAGATTTGAGACTTTGTATCTTTCCTGTTCTTTTTTTTTTTTTTTTTTATTGTGGCATGTCTTTTTTTTTTTTATTAAATCATAGCTGTGTACCATAATGCAATCATCTTTCCTGTTCTTGATTACAGTCTTCAGAAATAATGAAAAGGTGGGCCATAGAAGCAAAGAGGACACTAAGAGGACACACAGGGCATTTATAACTTACGTTGTAGAATATGATTAACCAGACCTTTTTTTACTTCTTGTTGTCACAAAGTTAGTTTCCATATGCATTGCTTGATATTTTCTTCTGCTTCTGTCTTATTTTAGAAATTAAAAATCCCTACGTTTTGTAGTTGTTCTCCCTAAGAGGATTTTTTGGTCTAAAATTAGGTGAATGAAGCCAATTTTATTTTCTAGGCATCCTTAAATCCTAGTGATACACCTCCGTCTATTGTAAATGAAGATTTTCTTCATGAACTTAAAGAAACTAATATTTCATATTCACAAGAAGCAGATGATCGAGTATTTAGAGCTCATGGTAAGCTATTTTGTATTAGTACTATTTATTTTTAATTAAATGTTTTTTCCATAATTTAAGATGTTTTTGCATTTTTTTTTTTTTAAACATAAAACAGGTCATTGTCTTCATGAGATATTTTTGCTCAGGGAAGGAATGTTTCAGCGAATTCCTGATATAGTCTTATGGCCAAGTAAGTTTTTCCCCTTGCATTATTAATTTAGTATTATTAAATCTTAAGTAAATTTAGGATTAGAAATATGTACTTTTAAACATTTGAGTTGTAAAAAGTATAAATATAGTAGATCCTCTGTAAGTTGAACACCCAAGGGACTATATAACATACTGATTAATGTATGGAGGTGGCCAACATAAGGAACTAGGTCTACTGTACTGCAACACACATGTGGTGCATTTCTGGTCTGTGAAAATTAGACCCACTTAAGGAAGTGGTTGACCATGGAGGTTCTACTGTATTTAGATGTGGCTTGGGATAAAAGATGGATGAACTTATGTTATTTTGCTCTTGGTGACGATTAGGCACTATATTTCTACATATGAGGTCGTTTTCTAGGCCATCTCTTTTAGATGACGATTAGGCACTATATTTCTACATACGAGGTTGTATTTTTAAAAACTTCCATTTATTTTCTGATTCTTGTCAGATCATTTTCTTCAGAGTTTATGAAATATTTTATTTTTCAAACAATTGGCTGATTCATGGCCTCTTCAGGTTTCAGATGAGCTGCTTCTACTTTATAGGAGCTATCTGAGGGAAAAATTCTATTTTAATATGGGGGCAAGATGGAGGCGAGATAAATAATCGTGGGGAAACATACAAACCCCAATTGAGGGACATTTTATGAGATAACCAGCCAGTGTTTTTCAAAAGTTTCATGTTCATAAAAGATGGACTAAGGAAATACCTACTTGCCTTTAAAGAAGGAAAGACTAAGGAACATGACAGCTAAATGTGATCCTGATTTGATCCTGGACCCACAAAGACCCCCAAAATGTGAATAAGGTCTGATGGTTAGTTATTTGGTCAATGTTAATTCTTTTGTTTTGGTAACTGGACTATAGTTTTGTAAGATGTAATATTCAGGAATATGAGCTGAAGGAAAATTGATGAATTATTTTTGCAACTTCTTTAAAAGTCTGAAATTATTTTAAAGTGAAAAGTTTAAAAAATTTTTTCTAATACAGCTGTTTAGTGCATGGCTGAGTGAAGGAAAAGTTTAGATACTAAAGAAAGTCATAGATCTGTATTTTGCAGGGTTACCCAGACTATATTCATGTTGCTATGATTAATTTATTTTCCCTTTTTTCAACAGCATGTCATGATGATGTAGTTAAGATTGTGAATCTAGCATGCAAATATAACCTTTGTATCATACCAATTGGTGGTAGGTATTGTCTTTTGAATTTTAATATGATATATATTTGTTCTGTTTAAAATATTTGTATTTTAAATATGTATGTTATCCCACTGAAAATAAACCTTATTGTAATTATATATAATTGTGCTCAAAAATTGGTTTATGGTACTCATTTGTGTTCTAAGTAAGTCTACCTAAAGTATTTAAGATGTGGTGTCCCTTTAGTTCATGGCTTTTTCCTGTTGGATCCAAGAGGAAACTGTGATTTAATGCTTAAATGAGAAAAGGTTCCTGCTTCAGTAATTACTTTCCAATCTGTATGTTTATGGAGAAAATTTTATTTTTCAAAGCTAAATATAAATGCACTAAATATAATAAAGAAGCAAAATAAACATAGAACACTATGTAGATTAGGTGATCAACCAGGACAAAGATGATCAAGTCCATAATATCTTTTAATATAGAAAAATAGCATTATTTTCTGTTTTTAAGATGAACTTGATGTCTTTTGATTTTTACTAATTGTGTTGTTTTAACACCTTAGACAAGCCAAAGGAAATTATCTTCAACAAAATTGCATTAATAGAATTAATTAGATAAACCTCAGTAATTCCAAAAGCTTCAGATTTCCCCTACATCTGATACTTTCTGTTGAATTCATGCACTATAATGTCACCTATTTGAAATATTTTTCTGATTTTGATGATTATGGCAAGCAAATGGTGGTTATTGATCACAGGCATCATGTTCTTAACTGACAGTTCATTATATTACATTGTAAGAGTAAGCTAAACATTACAGATTCTTACACTTCTTGTGAAAGGTGACTTTCACATTTTTCTTCCATAGAAAAGGTATGAAACTACTGATTAAGAATTTATTCTGATTTATGGTGATTTAGATCTGGTTAAGAACTGAACACATCATATTATTCTTTAATGGTATTAACTAAGCATTTTTCTTTGGACAATAAATGTTAAGAGAAAGCAGCAGTATTTTGTTTAAATATTTCTATACATTATTTATTCTATATAAAAATCATTTTTTTCACCAAAGAGCGTACACATTCGATTTTAAATATTTCATAATCTAGACATTTTAAACTTCTATAAAAGCCTTTTTGTACAAGACTGTGTTATTTTAAATGATAAATGAATCTCATAATTGTGGTAGAAAGGAGGTAATAGTCTCTCCTATTGTGTAGGATGGGCCTTTTTTTCTTTTATGCTACCTATCCAGATTAATCATTAGCTTAGAACTTTTCTAATCATGTTTTTGGAGTTCCACAAATTGCTAGGGACTTCACTTGAGTGTGCCATGTCCAGGGGATGGAGCCGTATGTCATTGCTTTCAGTTCCATAATATTGCTTCATTTTGGCATGCAGCATAAAATAAAGGTGAGTTTTTTTTTTAAAGTGTAGTAGCATTTGCAAAGTGTACTTTGCAAAGTAGTAATAGGTATTACTTTTCTAGTGGGCTATCTGTATACTCTATATTAGGGATTTGCCCTAGAAAGGAAACTAAAAACATATTTAAACATAAAATTGTCGTTTCCTCTTTTGGCAGGAGGAACAAGTGTTTCATATGGCCTGATGTGTCCTGCAGATGAGAGAAGAACAATTATTTCTTTGGACACTTCACAAATGGTATGTGATCATTTAAGAGGTATTTGAAGATTGCTTCTGTTTTAAACATAAGTCTCCACTTTAGTTATCATTAAAAAATGACCTGTTTTCCAGTTTGTTTTAAATGTGTGTTTTATTTTATTTTATTTTTTTTTGGAGACAGCCTCTTACTCTGTCATCCAGGTAGAGTGAAGTGGTATCATAGCTCACAGCAACCTCAAACTCCTGTGCTCAAGCTGATCTTTTGCCTCAGTGTCCTGAGTAGCTGGGACTGCAGGCACATGCCTTGGTGTCCTGCTGATTTTTCTATATTTAGTTGAGAGAGGGTAGAGGGTCTTGCTCTTGCTCGGGCTAGTCTTGGATTACATGTATTTCATCATATCTTACTCTTGTCTTCAGTTTTCCAAAATCTAAGTTCTCTCTTACTCTTGGGTATATATTTTGATGCTATTTTACTAAATTGGCACGTGAAATTGCTATGTTGAGAAGCATAGAGTGGAATATTGACCCACCAAATGACAGGGTTTGTGTTTTTAAAAAACAGAATAGATAATATTAGTTAAGGTTAACTTGAATCACCAAAATTTACCTTTCCCTCAAATTTACATTTTTTTGCTTGGGAAGCTAATTGATTTTAATGGTAGAATTGCTTTCTGAAGTTTTGGCTCATTGTGGTCTAAGAGTTGTTAAGTTTTAATTTATGAACTTTATCTTCATTTAGTCAGCAACACACTATATTCCTTCATTAAAATACAATTTTTTTTTTCTCTGAGACAGAGTCTCACTATGTTGCCCTCAGTAGATTGCCTTGGTGTCACAGCTCATAACAACCTCAAACTCTTGGGCTTAAGTGATTCTCTTGCCTCAGCCTCCCAAGTAGCTCAGATTATACGTGCCCACCACAACACCCAGCTATTTTTTTCCTTTTTTTGTTGCAATTTTTTAGCTGGCCCACCCAGATTTGAACCCACCAGCCTGGGTGTATGTGGCTGGCGCCCTACCAACTGAGCTACGGGTGCCGCCAAAATATAATTTTTTTAACTTTTCAATTTCTTTAGATACCAAAGTAGAGAGAATAGTATATCCATTTTCTAGATTTAAAGTATTATTTTGTCATATCTGCTTTACCTTTCCGTGTTTTCTTTCAGGATTTTTTTTTTTTAATTGAATGGTAACTATGTACATTAATGCACTTCTAGGGTACAGTGTGGGGTTTTCACATGTTCTTTCAGGATTTTTAAAGCAAATCTTGATATTAGGCTACTTAGTACCTAAATGTTTTTCTCTCTTTAACAAAGGGCATTTTTTTCACATAACTGCTATATTATTATCACTCCTGATAAAATCAAAAGTAATTTCTTTTCTTCTTTTTTTTTT